TTTAGAAGGCAAGTGTGATAGCTATTCAATAGCCTGTCAAAAAGAAATAACAGTTTCCCTTTGTTTATAAGACTGTGATCTGCACAAAAGAAGTAGATGAAAAAAAATAACAAGGAAAGGGAGAAAAGTGAAAGACATGTTGCTTTGATAATTTATATATGAAAGTCCTCCAAAATTCAACTGAATGATAAATGAAACACTATACACTTGATCTGTCACAATAGTAGATAATAAAAATATAACCTTAGGAGAAAGAAAGTCAGAATAATGATCTAACAGTTTATCTTTGGATGAAAAGTCTTATGTTTAGGAACAGGAAACCAAACACATTAGTGTTAGAACTTAGACTAGCCATTCGTTTGATAGGAGTTTTAAAGACTACCTCTGTTAGCTCTTTGAAATCAATCACTAGAGACTTGGACTTCTGAATTTATTTAATCATATGCTGTATATGTAGTAAAGTCCAGCATGTTCTTCACGAAGATTCTACCCTCAGATTCAAAATAATGCAGGCTTTGAGTCCAGGTTTAGTAGTTTCTTAACAATAAGAAGAAATGACAAATAGTGCCACTTGCATGTATATCATGCTGCTTTAAATATTAGCAATTAAGAATTTATGTGCAAAGTTTTAAAAAGAATTTTAACTTATCCGAAGAGAACAACTTTTAAAGCATTTAATAGAGAATGCAATTTTTGGTGATAAATATGTTGACAGATTTTAAACAAGTGAATCTATTCAAGGCTTTTGAGCTTGAAGTAACATCTGCAGTGTGGCAGAACAGCACAACTCAATTTGCAAAAACGAGTTGAAATTAGTTGAAAACTTTACTTCTCAATTAAAAGTTCTTGCCATTGATTCAGTTTGCAAAAGTCTTCTCAGTCCTATATAAACTTTATTCAGTTTGCCTCTTTATGACATTTACATTACTCTTTACAAATTTTATTGGTATATTATATATATATATATATATATATATATATATAGTGATAACATTCATTGTAGGGAATTTGCACTTGGACATGGTGTATCTTTCTTCTTTTTCCCCATTCCTCTTCTTTTTTTAGTCCCTCTTTCCATGTTTATTTACAAAAGCTTTGTTTCCAATTTTCCCTTCTATTCTCATTTTTCTTGTTCCTTCTTTTCTCCCCCTTCTCTTGTTCCCCTTCTTGTTTGAACATTTTCTTCTGATTCCCTAGTATCTGTTATACATTTTGGTTCTTATGTACACTTTCAGTTTCTCACACCAGAGGAAACAATGCAGTATTATGCATATGTGTCCAATTTATTTCACTTAATAGTATGGTCTCAAGGTGCATCGATTTACCTAAAAATACTCTTTTTTTATGGAAGAGTAGTATATTAAAAAAAACCCACATCTTTATTCATTAAGGGTTGATAGGCATTTGGGGGCTGTTACCCAGATTTAGCTATTACAAAGTGTGCTGCTGTAATTGGGTGGTGAGTGCCATTAGAAAGCAGTCTGTTCAAATGTCAAAGAAGGCATCATTCTGATACACCAGATAAAACAGATAGCTAGATAATTCTTTTAAGAATCACTCTTGTAGTCTAATAAATTATCACTAGGATTAAAATCTCAAAGAAGATGTTGCTTGAAATGCACATAATTATTAACCACACATGCAGTGTATTAATTAATTAATTAATGATTTATTTTGAGACATGGTTTCACTATGTAGTTCAGGCTGGTCTCAGACTCATGATGTAGCTCAGGCTGCCCGTAAACTCATTATGATCCTCCTGCCTCAGCTTCCCAAGTGCTGAGATTACAGGCACATGCCACCATGCCTGGAAGACATGCCTGTTTTTAAAAATAGAATACAACCTAGACTACTTCTGGGAGGTGAATCCAATCTGAATTTCTAAAAGAATTTGAAGGACATTAAAATGAGATTTGGAACATAAACTACAGAATAAATCACTTACAGTCTGAGGACCATATGCTGGTGATTCTGACAGCACTCAGTTACACAGGAGAATTAATGAATTGTGATTTTCAGCAAAAGGATAAAATAGAAATGGATGCATAAATATATGACACAAGAAAAACCCATTTACAAACACTAAGAAGTATAATAAATTGTTATAGAAAAGGAAAAGGAATAGGAGGTATAAGTAAAATTTCCTGTGTGCATTTTGCTTATAAAGGCTGATCTTATAAGGGAGAGGGATATTGCAAATTCTTAGGACTTGGATTTATTGGGATCAAGGCCAAAGTTCTCATGTGAGCTCTGCTCCATATCACCTTTCTAACCTAATTTTTGTAACTCCATTTTCTTTTTGTAAAGTAGAAATAATACAGAAATAACTTAGAAGTGCTATGAATTACATGAGTTTATACACGTGTTGCTTTTAAAACAATTCGAAGAACACAGTAAATATTCAATCAGTATTCATGCTTCTCCTCTCCCCCAGCCCTTCTGTTGTTTCTGTCAGCAAGAGGTAGAATATGATTTGATTAAGATTACATCATTTTTATTAGTAGTGTCACATGGACTTATATTACCTACTTCTAATATTACAAACAAGCAACTAGTAATATTCTGGGTGCAAATAAAATGCTGTCATTCAATTGAATCTCCCAATTTTGTAGTCAGGCATTTATAGTAGTTAATCAAGGTTATATCTCCTGTATATGAGAGCTGCCTTCATTAGCTATCATTCTCAAATTCTTTAGAGAGCTTAGAGTTTTCATTCAACTTTGAAGGTAATAAAACTTCTCAGGTCAAGCAACCAGCCTGAGTTTGCAAGAGGCTCCACCTAGACAAAATCTGCCATGTATCAGGAAACACAATTGAAATGCAATCCAGAATGATGTAAGCATTTTGTAAATCAGCCTGGGTCATCTGAGTGAGAAATCCTGCTATGTGACTTTGGTCATTTTATGTTTAAGCAAAGAATATAATTAAGTAGAGTATTTAATGCTTTCATATCAAAAACAAAGAAAAATTTTCTGGAAAGCAAATGTATAAGCATATAAGCTGTGGATTCCATTAAAAACTCAACTACTTTAACCACAGAAATGCTCCAGAAAGACGTAGGGTTGAGATCATTCAGTGCTCAAAGGAGATAATGCATGGAAACGCAATCATTGCTTTCTAGCTACATATCGACTCTTTTGAAAATGCCATCCTCTTTTCTAGAAAAATACAAGCTAGTGAATTAAAATGATTTTAAGGACGGCCAATTATATAAAAATAATAAAACAATAAAATGAGCTAAATTTCTTTGCCACAATACCTAGAAATGTAGAAAAATCTATTAACTTGCATGTTTTAACAGATCATTCTCAATAAAATGTTAGGAAGCATTTAAATTAGGCACAATTATTCATTTTTACCTCAATCTTGCAAAACATGTTAAGCCAAGGGGAAGGACAACTCTGAATTCTGTTTCCCACATGTATAATTAACTAATGGAGTTAGGGTTTAAATTAGCAATCCTTCTTGCAATTTTACATTCCATAATGTAAACAACAGCATACTATGTCAGCATACTTTATTTTAATAAAGATACTATAAAAACTAATTTTCCCTAAGCCATCAGTTTTTTTTTTTTTTTTTCCCTGTTGCTGGGCCTGAACCCAAGTCCTCCCGAATGCTAGAATTGTATTCCATCATTGAGCCACAAACCAAGCCAAATACTGTTTTGAAGACATATGTTACTACTAGTTAAGTTTTTCTTTTCTAAGTACAGTTGAATGTTGTCAGGATAAATCTTTGAAAACAAGTCTAGACATGACAAAAAGAAAAAAAGACTGTGGTATTTTGGAATTCTGACAAAACTGCTGCATGGTAATTATCTCAACATTGCAACAAAATAAAACAATTCACTGTTTATCAAAAGCACTACATTTTAGTCTTGGAATTTATTTTACCTGTTTCTTAGCATGTTACAGTATTTTAATGCACAGATTAAGAAAGTCTCCAGAGTTATGATTCAGTGATGCTTTAAAGAAGAGTAACACTTATACTTGGTAATATATGTCCATGTGACACTACTAATAACAATGATTTTATGACCAAAAATTTCAGGCAAGAAATCTTTGTAAGCATTTTGAAGGTTCTTTAGCTTGCATGTCCTTTTAAAGCAAGGCATTCATCTATTTGCAAATTGGCAAGAATTTGGCAGAATTTGAATGAATAAATGAATGAATCTCACACCTATTTGATCACAGGAATCCTTTACTTTGTTTTAACATTAAAAAACCTCTCTCTCTCTCTCTCTCTCTCTCTCTCTCTCTCTCTCTCTCTCTGTCACACACACACACACACACACACACACACACACACACACACACACACCAGATAATGAAAAATACAACTAACATCCATGCAACTTCCACCTCCACTGACTTTTGGGGATGCCTCCTTTGTCTCCTCATCCCAAACACCATCTCCTCCATGAAAGTGAGGTAACCCTAACTTTTGGGTAAAATCTTTTTTTCTTCAAATTTTCAAACACTGGTATAGGTAATTTAAAATTGTTTCAGAAAAATACTAGTATGTTACTAATCAGATGTTCTTCTGAATAGTAATTTTTTATTTGCATTATAGAATACATGAGAAAACTAGCACAAAAAAGTTTTAAAACTTTTATGTAGAGAGAATTGATCAACCAGTCAATTTAGTGAGAAAAAAAACCCCAAAACAAAAACAACTAGAACCAGTACCTGGAACAGTTTAGACAGTTACACACAGAACTAAAAACAAACCTAGAGCAACAAAGTATGAGAAGACCCATGGATGACTTCTCCATCATAACACTGTAATCCACATCATGTAGTTTTATAGACAAATGCAAGAATTAGGAATTTAATTCACTTTTCAAGCAAACCAACACTATTTTGCCCTTGTTAAATACTAAGAGAAGTAGATATAATCTTGCTCTCTTTTGAACCCCACATGCCTTTTCTCACATTCAAGTGAACGAAATAAATTAGCATCTAAAATGTTTATAACAAAAAAGTATTAACTCCTACCTCCATTATCTTTTAGATGTAGTGCTATCTTGGTATCATCTGGAAGAGAAATTCAAAGTTATTATAACAAAAAGATTTTTAAAGGTGTATAAAACTTATGATTAGTAATTGTTAGTTAATTAAAGTAATATGACTATATTTTGATAATTTGTTGAATTAATTTTAGTTCAGTGAAAGGAAGAACCAGTTTCACATGATATAGTACTAGAACTTCTTAAAGAGATAGTAAGATCAAAACTTAAACAAAGCAGGTATGTTTCTTAAAATTTTGTGAGAAAAGTAAACAGTCACAATTTAAATTACATCTATTTTTAACTTCTACAATTGATAATAGAACTTGTAATTATAACTATTTATTTAAAAGTCAAAATCAAGAAATTTCAAATTAATTGGAATAGTCAGGATTTATCAACATTTATACATTTAATTTCAAAATATGTCAAATGGATTTTCATTAATAACAAATATAATCAAAAGCATTTATGAAAAAGATTTTGTCCTGAGTGAACATAAGGTAGGCTAACTCTTTTCATTTGAAAGGCTATATTTTGTTCTAAAGGGTATAATTTATATTACAGAAATATTTTTCATGGGTTTTAATATAATGGACTAAAATAATGAATGAATTTAAAAATGTTGTTTTTAAAATCAATGAAATGCATTCAAAACTTGTCCTCCATATCACTTTATGCCAATTGCCTTGTAGTATCCAATTAAAGTTCAATTAAAAACTGGTTTCAAATTTAATTTCACTTCCTATTCAAAAGAAAGCATGGCTTATGACAATAATTAAGACAATCTTTTCCCTTGGTCCCTATTCTCCTAGCAATATCATTCAGAATGGAAAGTTATCCAGGGATGGCTAACATGTCTCCTTTCCCACACACTGTGTCTATGTATTAACACTACCTTCTGCCTTCTTTATAGGAGGAAGAACTATTTTTGTGACCTTTCCAGTGTCTCTGTATAGGTTATGCACTAACATTATATGATACTGATATTGTTCAGACTTCAAAAGCAGTTCAGGACATTGCAGGTACTTTTGCCGTCCCATCCTGTGACTGCAGTGTTGAATTTCGAGACTGCTAAACTAAGTCTCATAAAAAGAAACCTGTATTTTTTCTCAGAGAGAAAAAGAAGCCAGATTACAAGCAAGAGTTAAATCTTCCTAAAAAACACAATATATTAAATGAATCCTCCATATATTTTCAGCTCGTAATATTTTTGTCTTCTTCCCCTTTATCCCCTTTTCTTTCCTGTATTTTTCCTTCTTTAAGTAAAAGCAAACTATGTCTTGGGCACCTTCTGTGGGCAGACTGGTGGGTAGCTGGGCTGTTGCTGCTCTCCTGGTGGTGGTTAGGACCCTGAGTTGCGTGGTGGTCGTATGGATGGTTGTGGTGGTTTGAGACGTTTCCACTGACTCTGTGTTCTCACACATCTTCTCCTTTGACTAGGAAGAGATGCAAAAGGGAAGACAATTTGAGTAATCACACAAATGTTTAAGAAAATCTTATCAAAGAAGTGGGGCCACAAAGGCTCTCAAATTAATGTGAGCAATGAATTGTTTTTTACTAGGTCACATTTAGAGATTTGGTAATTTACAAAAGTCTATAAAATAGGAGAGACAGAAAGAGGCAGAGAGAGAGAGTGAGAGAGAGACACAGAGAAAGAGACAGACAGAGAGACAGAGAGACAGAGAGAGACAGAGAGAGACAGAGAAAAGTGGATACTACAAAGTACGTTCAAGATTTAGATATTCAGATTTCATTTGACCACTAACCGTTCATATTATTATCTTTCTTAAATGTTATGCACTACATTTATCAAAGACATAATGTCAAACGGTGAAAGTGCACACTTGAAGAAAAACAGATATATAGGTAAGATTTATAAAATAGTTTAGCATGTGAAGAAAGAACGCCTTTACTTCAAATGAAACGAACTCTAAATCCTACACATTTACTAACAGCTTCAACCTACATTACAGTCTCAAATTTAATCTGCCACATGCTGAATTAAATATAGGAAATTTTGTGTTCTTTTATAAATATTCAAAAGGTACACAAAGAAATAGCACTCATTTAAATGCTTAATTTAGTTGACCTTAGCAGGGCTACCATGAAGCCACCAGGAAAATATGCATCTCCTATTTACTTATTTGTAGCCTACAGAAATGAATCTGTAATTTTCTCTAGTCACAGTCTCTGATGCTGAAACCAGCACAGTTCATAGGTTAGTGCTGAAACCCATCTCTCTTTGCTTCTGAGGACTGCCCCTCATAGGCCTCAATGGAAAACATGAACTCCTATACTAGCACACACGCTGTGTTTGAGAATCACACAGTTAACACCTTTCTTCAACTCTCCTTTAATCTGTGAAGTACTTTGCATGTTTTCTCTGGTTAATGAAGAGTTCCTGATACAGCTTTCTTTTCATTAATTGCATCTGATGCAAGCTTATCTCCCCCTTCATGTTTTCGGGCCCACCGAAGGCCACAAGCTATAGTTCTGTCTTCTCTTCAGCTCCACAGAGCTACTGATCGTCTCTCTGACTCAGCATTAGTTGTCACCCCTACACCCTGTCTAGTATTCTGCTGGAAAAGCTTTTAGTCTGAAATCATAAACTTGATTATCATCCTTCAGTCTATCCATGTACCTGTTCATTCAAATTCTTCCTATCCTTGAACTATGTAGAAAGTTCAAACACAATGATTTTCTTTCTTTACTCTCCTTTCTTTCCGTCACTTTAACCTATTTTCAACAACTTTTAGTATTTTTCTGGGCTTATTTTTTAAAACACATTTTTAGGGAATCCTCAATATGATTTATAGTAAGAGCTTCCCTTTTAGTGCCTGGGCTAAAGCCAGGCACAGCTGCAGATATCCACAAACTGACCTCCCTCCTCAGTAGGCCATCGGATAATTGGCAATACTGCTCTATTAGGCATATAATGTCTGCAGTTAAAACTGCTTACTCTACCTAAAACTAACAACCCCATCGTACTTCTCCTGATTTCATACCATCAGTTAACCTTATACTTTTGATACAAGTTGGCAACACGAGCTACATTTTTTACAAATCAGCCTACTTTCTCTAATCTGAACCGACATTTGAGGTATCACAGACATCTCAAATACCAGAAAGCTACAATGGAACACGTCATATATTATTCTCCACTTGTATTATTTTTCTCAAATAATCGTACTACCAAGGACCTCAGAGTTTAGTGAAATCCTGGATTGTGTTTGTTTATGGAAGTAAAGGAAGACTAAGAGCTCTTCTGTTGCAAAACAGGTAGGTACTGGATGAGAGATGAATTTTAAAGCTATATTAGAATTTGTAGGAAGTAAAGAAAATCTATTTGTTCTTTCTCTAAAACAAACAAACAAAAACAAACTGTATGCTGTAAAGAGAACAGGAACAGTAGGGTTTCCCCGTGGAAAACAAACCAAAGCCTTCTTATCACTTTAAGGAAACCAATCACCTCAGGGGCCCTAAATCAAAGCCTTTTTTTCCTCTCATGAAGGTAAGACCTGTGGCTGTGGCATCCCTAAGACCTCAGAGTCCCAACATCAAGCCTTTTTTGGTGGGAAACATCACTTTTTGGTTTATGGGAAATCTCATGGGATAGCACTAAATTAGTGTGCTCACTAAAGGACACAAACCAGAAACACAGAAACAGTGCTTGACAAACAGCAAAATCAGTGAGCAACGAACAGTATGCTTGGACTTTCAAAACTTGGGACACTGGGGCTATCCAACATGTAGTATATAAAAATTATGTAGGAATATTTAAAGAAGTGAAAGGAAAATTTGAAAAGTACGTTGCCAATATATAACTACAGAAAAGACTTGACTGATTCAATCATCAAATTTAAATTTTAGAAATGAAAAATATATTATTGAAATGACTCCCTCAATGAGTAAAATAATTAGAATATTGAATAAATAGAAGGCTGAGCAAAATAAAGAGAATCAAAAATGGATAAATACATCTGAAGAAATTCTTCGCTGTGTAGTACAGAGAAATAATAAATAGAAGATATAAATGAGAGATTGAAAAATACATGATAAAGTAAGGTAACCTGATGTAAAAATAACAAAAAAAATTTTTTTACAAAATTATACATGTGCTATTCATCCAAGAAATAATGATCATGTAAAAAACCAGTTCCAAATGGGACAAAATTTTAATATGAGAGACAAGTCTTTAAAACATGTAGAAGAAAACATATAAAAATAGCTTTTTAATAAAATTTGGGTGTATGTGCTATGTCTATCCTTGGTATTGACTGACAGCTTTGTTTTGCCATATTTGACTGTATTCTTCCCCCCCCCCCAAGAAAGTAATAAGCACTAAGGAGTAATAAAATCCAAGATGTGTAAATTTTGTTGTAAAAAAGAGAGGGAAAAAAAAAAAAGAAAAAGAGCTCTAACGGATATAACAGCAAGTGTGTTTGGGGGTGTTAAATAGCTGACTTTATCAATGTTTTTGGAACATTGAACACAGCTGTTTGCAGTCTCCCTGTTTGAATGTCCACCTTGTGTTCTTTGATACTGTGATTTGAGGAACTATTTTCAAGAAGATAGTGTGTAATCTACTAGCAGGTGATTTCTTACTGTTATGTTTTTTTGTTTTGTTTGGTTTTGTTTTGTTTTGTTTTGTTTTGTTTTGTAGTTCTGTATTGCGTGTACCCTTACGCCGCTTTGGTTTGTTTTGTGTTTTTCTCTTTTTCCTCTTAAATAAAAAAAAATAATAATAAAAATAAAATAAAATAAAATTTGGGTGTACAGGTTATTTTGGTGGTTAGAGACAAGGGTTGAGTCTTCCTAGGTTTCCCAGAATGACCTCAAATGGAGATTCTCCTGTCTCTACTTCCCAAGTAGCTGGGATTCCAGGCATGTGCTACCAGGCCTGACAGAAAAAGTTTTCTTAAACAAAATATACAGACACATAAACATAAGCAAAGTCTGATAAATGTGACACACTAAATTGAGATAAATTGTGAATTAAAATCAAAGAGAAGATGACAGAGAAACCAAAGTCTTGAAGGAGATATAAAGATAGACGAAGATACAGATATGTATCTGTACATTACAGTTTAGATCTAGTGTCCCTTAAGAACTTACTTTGCTTGGAGGTGAGGCTTTGAAAGTGATTGAATCATGGGTGCTATAGCTGGCTGGCTCTTAGGAGGCAGAGCCCCGGAGGGCGGGCACTGTGGACATGGCCTGGAAGGGCACTGCTCCTTCCCTGGATCCTGCCTTCACTGTGATCAAAGCAGCTTTCCTCAGTCTAGGCCCTCTGCCACCCCAGAGATCACAGGAGGACTGAACCTTCTAAAACTTGAGCCAAAATCAACCTCCTATTTAAGTTGCTGGGTATTTTGTTCCCCTGATGAGGACAATGACTACGATAATCTCTGTATCTTTATATATTAGCAAGGGCCATACAACGATAAATAAAAGGCATGGGAAATAAAATGCAAAATTTTAGATGGCATGATTAGCTACATAGTCAGACATAGTTTTTAAATTAGTAAGAGAGTTTTGTAAGGCAGTTATATTCAAAGCTTTTTTTAGTATATTTACTTATAACCAACAAAGACACAGTATCTAGGAAAAAAAAAGATAAAGATAATTACCAAACAGAAAAATAAAAAAAAAATATATATGAATGGAAAATTTGAGATTCCAAAATTGAACATTTTCCTGATTCACATGTAGCAGTTCTACTTTTAGGACTAGGAAAACTGTACATTTAATTCAAGAGGCATGCATGAAACATTTTGTAATCCTGTAAACTTGGAAGCAATGTCCATAAACAAAAGGCCGAGTGAGAAAAGTATTTTGTAAGAAGGCAAATTCCAAAAAGGCAGGGTTTTGTGATTTGCTGTTTATTTTAATTTTTTCCTACATCACAGTACCTAAAAAGGAAAAATTGACTATTATAGAGTAGGATAGACTATGAGCTCTTTGGGAGAGGCAATTTTTGTTTTCAGTCTCTGTAGTTTTACTGGTTAGTATAGTTCATAGAATATAGTGATTTTTCTTTGCACTGTAGTTAGGCGGGCACAATGTGATGGATTTTTCTGTGTTTCCTATAGTTCATAGTGAGAACATACTAAGCAAGAAAATTAAAATGTATTATTTGGTGAATCTTTACACAAATACATTCATTTTGAACACTTTTTAATAGGGTTAACAATGATTACATGAAACAATGATTTTAAAACATAGTAATGGGTTTATCAGTACACTATTATCAGTTCATTTGCATTGTGTTGCTAGATAAATTAGATTCATATATATAACTGTAATTTCCCAAATGGATGTCAAAAAGTTGATTAAAGTTGTTTTTGTATTGCTATATGCAATGACTAAGAATGTTCTTTAAGATATATTTCTCAAGATCTTTAGGAGACCCAAAAATTGAATTTTAAAAGGCCTTATATGAACCACTTATGCCCTAACAGTTTTTAAAATGGTACTGTGCTATGGTTTACTTTACTGCATGAGGAAATTTGTATAACTGTTAATAAGTTTAATTAAAATTCATGCCCTAGAACTTCAATAAAGGAGGAAGAAATTCTTTATGAACTATTTTTAGGATCTCTGTGACTCTGAAATGACAGTGTAAATGAAATTCACTAGAAAATTTTCAGACTGGTTAACATTGCGCCCTTAGTTGTACAGAATTGCTTGAATTACTTTACTGCATGATTATTTCTATTGTGTTGACTTTGGAGTTAACGATGTTCCATTTCTTCTCTGTTACCTATGCTAAATCATCAGTTATTATCACACATCTGATTTGCTATAATTGGTCTTTTTCTCATACCATTGTTTTTGTTCTTTAAGCTAAAAAGAAGGAAAATGTTTCCTGGATAGTAGCAAAGCAGCAAGTGTTTAGGAGCAATCCTTTTTGCCTGCACAGAGTCAAACCCAGGCTCTCCTATTCTCCAGACAGGTGCCTAACTCTAACTGGCCACACTCTGCTTCTCTCCACAAACTCCCTCTACCTCTTGCTTTCCTATTCTGGTAATAAGATGAGTATTAATAACATTTACCCTATAGGATGAATATGAGAACAAACTGAGATTACATATATAAGAAATTAACCCAGGGCCTGGCACGTAGGAGGTGTTCAGTGACTGCTGTCTGTTTTTATAGCTTAAGAGCTCCATTCTTAGTAAGATGTAGTAGTATCAACATATGACAGCTTGGTCCCAGGAATTTTATCAATAAAGCATGTGTACCTCTTCAGGGCATCCACTGTCCACCCAATCCTGCCGATGGCGATCAAATCCACTGGAACATCTTCCAAGATCCATTTGTAGTTCAGCAAAGAAAGTACAAGGTGGAGGGTGGGGAAGAGAAATTGAGAGAGAAAGATTGGTAAATAGTTGTTGCTGAAAATGTCAGTGTATCATTTTCTTCTGCAGAGCTGGGAACTGGAGAAGTTACATTTAAGAGTTGCGCTGACTTACCAATCATCACTCACGCCTCTGGTGTCCCACTGTTAGGGTCACACATGGAGACACATGGCAGAGACTGACTACACAGTAGAGAATGTCTAGATTTCTGCATAATGCTAAGAACAATCGCCATTCCATGAAGTTGAGTTTCTTCTTTCTCATATTTTCTTTTCAAAACAAATTAATAAAGACAAGATTTTTACAGGAATCATTTTCTCATGATGGATTATTTATTTAAAGACCAACTATCCCACAAACTCTTTATCATGCTTTTTAGGGGTTTCAAAGAGCTCCTGGAAGATAACTTCTAAACTCAGGCGTCTTCTGCCTGATGACAGCATTGGCTTATGCGACCATCTACACTGACAGTGATTTATTATGAAAAGCTCATATAATTCACCTGGAGCCCAGGGCCATGATGTATCAGGTTGACCTCCCGGGAGCATGAGACTCTGAGATGAGTCAGGAAAGCCACAGGGATTTCCCTTGCCTGTGTGAATGACCCTCTTTGAAACCCTGGGCCCAAGGCTTAGGCCAGCGTCTGTGGTTGGCAAGCACATGACATTGCCAGGGGAATTAGTGCTGTCTAAGTTTTCTTGCTGGGAGATGGCAGCTGGAAGCCTGTCCCGGAGTTTGTGCTATGTGTTTTTTACCTTTGATAATTTTAATTTATCTTCTTTTTGTGTAATAAATGGAGACTTTGAGCATAGCAGCTTTTCCAAATTTTGTGAGTGCTTTATGGGTGTAGTTGGACCTGTGTGTGTTCTTGGGGATCCTCAACAACACACTAGGGAGCACATGGCTAACAGGATTTTGTTCATACTACTTGCTTTGACTGGAATAATTTGTCTTCACTGCCGGTCTTGATATAGCTCATTCATTTTCATGACCAGAAATTACTACTCTTGGCACATTCTGACAAAGCTTCATAATTACTGTGATCACATCATTACTATTTCACTTTTCTCCTTTATATAGTATCTCTTAATGAACAAACTTCTCTGAAACAAAGTTGGGGTCATTGTTTTCTATTGATCACACTTAGTATATCTGACACATGATAAGTTAAAAATTAAAAATGTTTTTCTCGGTCTATTAAAATCAAAGATTTGCATTGTCCCTTAATATTATACACACATGTACAGTACATTTATATATAAGAATCCATATTAAAGTATATCAATCCAACAAGCATTTATTTACTTTTGAAAATGGAAGAAATTCAGTTTGGGAGGTTTATATTTCTTATAGGGGTAAAATTGTACTTTTTTCTTCCCTTCACATGTTTTGCAAAGAGTCCACATGCGGTCTTTTCTAAGAGTTTTAGCTAAAGATGCTAGCATTCTTTCAGACACTATGGCATGAAAGAGCATAATTTAATTCAAGGGAAATGTGAAAACAACCCTACTGTCAACCGAGAAGACCATATCTGTCATTCTCTCCAGACATGACCCACTGAAGCTCAGCTATTTTATACCTACCATCTGTGTTGAGCAAGTTTAAGTGTGGCATAATCACCAGCGTGTGACTTGGCATTTTAACTTCAAGAATCCCCAGTTGGCTCGAACCATTTCTGCTCACCCAGTGATATTCTGATGTGTGATGTCTATTTAACTTCAGGTCAGTTACGTGACTGTTTTCTCCTTTTCTTTCAAGTCTGTTTAAATATTCAGGAATATTCAGGAATGGACTTTTGGAAGGTGTGAATGTATCAGTTTTCTACCAAGAAAAAATTGAGGGGTGTCCCTTAAGCACAAGTATTTGAAATGAACTTTTAAAAAACATAGTTTGTCTTCACTTTCTCTATTCCAGATTTAAAAAAAAATAGTGAAATACATACACTTTTATCTCATAATGATACAGTAGCAGATCTTAAATTTGTATGCTACTGAAAGCTTATCTTACAAAAATTAGCTGCTTAAATTGTTAAAGTAATCCCAGGATAAAGTACAGACATACTGCAGTTTCCTTGACTCATTAAACAATCTCTCAGTTGTATTGTGTGAAATTAAGCTCTACTGAAAATATGTGAGTCAATTAAGTCCTTCACTCATTTATTTACTCATAATTGATTCTCTTTTAATTTATTTGTAATTTACTAACGGTGAGCATAGAAGGGACCGAGAATGCAAAAACCAGTAAAATTTGGTTGGAAAGTCTCATACATTCTTGGACCTAAGTTTCTTAAAATTGAATAAAACTGGATTCTAACTTTTTAGCAATTCTTATAATTCAGAAATATAAATAATACACAGAGCAATTATGAGCAAAAGTGTGTGTGTGTGTGTGTGTGTGTGTGTGTGTGTCACATAGATTATTTTGAAAGCCACTTTCTTGTTATTTCTGAATTCCAAATAAAGAAAAAGTCAGCTGAGCTGGGGACATGTTCTTATCTCCTCTTAGTTGTTTTTTTATTTGTGTGTTGGTTTAAACCCAGTGACTTTAAGCATGTCACACTTCAGCATGTTGATTTCCCAGCACTTGTAACAGTGATGCACAAAGAGCCTCTCCCCACTGGGATTCCCTGGGATGCCAACTGAAGTGCTATTCTTGGATCTGAGTATGATTCACTTTTCATTATGAAGTAGCATCGCTGATGATTCTCACCACAACCACACTGACATTAGAACACCACTGACTTCCTGGAAGGTGAAATCAGGCCTCTCAGCTTCTCCTCAGCCCATCTGCCCCTTGTTATGCTCTCTCCTTTCCAATAACAGCAGTTTTCCTGCCCTTCCTGAGCGCACTTAGCTCTTTCCTGACTCTGCCTTTGAACACGCTGTCACCTGGAAGCCCCAGGAAGCCCCAGTTACTAACTCTGTTCAGCTCAAGCCTCACCTTCTCCCAGCACCATCCCTGTTTCCTCTCCCAGGTAGAGCGAGAGACTATTGTTCAGACTTCCCCAACCGCTGCAGCAATTCCAGTTACTGTACTATAGCTGGTTGCCTTTGAGTTTATCTTAGAGGCTTTCAAAAGAACAAGGTAAAAGTAAAGCACTTTTGTTAGAATTTTGTCTTGGGCACAAAACAGGCTTCTGATTCAAGGAAAGTTATTTTCCTTTCACTTTTAAAATTTTATCTTAATTTATCATGATAGAGTAGATTTGTATATTTTTATGTGGTATGATGTGGTATTACAACATATGTATGCTCAATGACAGATGATGAAATTAATCTAATTAATATGTCTTTCAACCCGGATATTTTTTGTTATGAGAATGTTTAAGGTGTATTTTCTTAGGAATTTTGAAATACACAATACAATATTATTAGTCTCCACCTTGTGAATAGAACATAAAAAAAATTAATCATCCTATCTAACTGGAACTGTTATCCTTACATTAGTTTTCTGAAGTTGGTTTTCTCATCTGTAAAATGAAGTGGGGGGTGTATATAATAATAAGAAGTACAGTGGTACACAAGAAAGGTTCGATAAATATTAGCTCCTTTTAATAGCTTGGTCATGTCTTTGTAATAGGTATGTAGCAAAGTTGGTAATTGTAGAAAAGAGTGAGATTTTCAAAATAAATACAAGATTCAGAAAATATTACGGATTTATTCTGTGTATGGTAATGTGAGACGTTTTATAATATAAATTTCTTGTATTGAGGACCTAGATTTTTAAAATCTTAAGAGAAAAAAAATCTGAATTTCCTCATGTTAGAGCCAAATCTTTAATCAACATTTATATGCAGATAGTAGTTATGAAATTTTGTAAATATTCCTCAAACATTAACTTGAAAAAAATCTGAGGGTCTAACTACAATAGATTGTCAATGTTTTTTATTTTCAAATTATCCTACCTAATTGCAAAACAAAAAGACAGAGGGCTGTACTTCAAATAAATTTTAGTCTGCACTGCATTTCAATGAGGTGTTGATTTTAAAGCCCCCAAAGAACATGTTAAGGAGCCTCCTTAAATAATGCTGTTTGAAACAATATTCTCCATACTTGAAACATCTGTCAAATCAAGAAACAAGAGTATCAAATTTCTTATTTCAGTTTTTTAGAAACTGTTTTGGAAATAGGACTACTGCTTTTGCAAGATTAACATATTTGAATGAAGAAAATGGATTAAAATATATGCATATGTGATAAATAAGGGTTAAAAATGAAATGGATGTCTCTCTGAGCATCTGAACATGCATCATTTTGCCAGTAAGATGAAATATCTTCAGAAGCGATCTCAGGAAGGAAATATTACATGAAGTTAGGATTGTGTCAGGAAATATTTTCTGCATCAGAGATAAACAAACTTGTTCTGTGAGGGATGAATAGTGATTATTTTATACTTTGCAGCTATATAATTTTTGTCCCAACTCATCACCTCTTCCACTATTAATTTGAAAGCAGACACAAATATATGTATAAACAGATGGATAAGACTGTATTCCAATAAAACTTTATTTGTAAAAATAGGAAGTGATTTGACCTACTTTATTCCTATAATTTGTTGAAATCTGTTGGAGATTACTATGTAAAATTCTGCAGATTTTGGGACAAATGCCTCATCAAGTGTATTTATTCGAGTGTGTTATCGTAATAGAAAAATCAGCTGCACGTTTAGAAGATTTTCCTGTTAGTTTCTAAAAGTTTGAAAATGATCCTTTAATGTCAAAGAGATGGAATGATACTTTAAAAAAGCAAATGTATTTTAGATTAGATGATAAACAGCTAATATTAATTAACTAATGTTATTTATAGATAAAGAAGGTAGTTTGATGCTGTAAGATATAGGGATGTTTTATTTGAGAAACTGAAACCATTTAATTTGGAAAATAGATCATTATATTCTAACAGTAGATTATACCCACCATTATTTTAAATACAGATTAGTGGAATC